GAGAGACGATTTTGGCCAATTGATATCAGTTGATTAAATTCTTAAGTTGCTGATGTTATGGTGACAAGATAGTGGTGTTGTAACTTGAAAATTTTGTTCAGAGGGACAGTTTGGTACTGAAGTGCAATCTGTGCAGGAGCAGGAGCTTTTTGAGAGACTATATGGTTTGAATTTGAGGGGGAACGAGAGGAGATAATTTGGTTTGAGGGTTTTTAAAAGTTGGAAGTTGACCACCAAATCCTCTTACTATCAGTTGCTGAAAAAGATGGTATGAATACCTGGGAAAGCTGTATGGAGTAAGGCTCCTACATAGGTGTCCTCCTATGTGTCAACTCCTGTAAGAAATCCACTAGAAGCGACAGTGCATCATTGCATAGTAAGAGGTCATTTGAGAAGGAAAACCGTGGCTGATGATTTCTTCGCAAAAAGTGAGCGAAGGATGCCAAACACTTGTTGCTTTATCATAAGATGGCCGTGAATTTGTGGAGTATTTTGGTCAGCCTGTTGTGGTGCCAAAATTGATTGAGGGTATGCTGTTCAGCTAGTGCTGTGGTGGTAATAAGGTCAGCAAGATAAGGTCATGTTAAACATGCTGCACTGTCTGGCGTCCCGTGTAAGGAATTGAGTTGAAGAATGTTTGAGAGCAATGAGAACCCTGTGGAAAATAAAAAACGTGATTTTGCTTTTTATCTCTGGAGTAGGCTGTCCATTCCTACATTTATAAATTTTTGGATGGACTTCTTGAAGAGTATAGGGAATATAGTTTTTTGTGTTTTATTTCATCTGTATGCATCTTTGTTCAGAAGGATATACACCCCCCACTCCCCCGCCCCCCGGGGCAGTTAATGCTATATATTTTCTTAATATATATCTTCTTGCAACACTTTATTTGTATGGTTGTATTTTTATTTTTTTTTGAAAAAAGAAAAAAAAAAACTACAAGCATATGAAGCCTTTTCTTATCATATTTCAATGTTAAGTTTGTTACTTTTTGCTACTTTCTTCATGGATGCAGGGAAATTCCAAAGATGATGGCAGATCATATAATGGATTTGGGTGGTGAAGTTAATCACCACAAGTTTCTACCTCAATTCAATAAATTTCATCCCCTGCACTTCTTTTTGGGGTCCTGATACAGGAACAGTCCCAGAGAACTACATCTGTTTGTCTTATGAGATCAATACAGTTGGAATAATTAGAGCTCCACGTGGTGATGGGAAGGAAGCTATAGTATTGGTTACACCTTATAATTCTTTGAAGATCACAAGGGGAGAGGCTCTATCACTAGGAAGTGCATACGCATTGTTCTCTCTATTCTCTCGAGTTACTTGGCTTTCCAAGGATTTTATATGGCTCTCTGCAGACTCAAGACATGGAGAATACACCGCAGTTGCTTCGTGGCTGAGAGACTATCATACAGCTTCATTTGGTGACTTTATGCATTCTGAAACTTGTGGTGGCATTAATTTGCCCGAGCTGAAAACAGTGCATAATGGCTTTCAACACGCTGGCACAATGGTAGCTGCTCGTCATTAAGGTTGCTGATAGAAGCAGTGAATTCAAGAAAGATGCTCTTACCATGCATGCTGGAGCATCCAATGGACAGTAACCTAGATCTCATCAATATTGTGAACTATTTAGCAGTACATGGACAGGGTTACCGGGTGAAGGTGGAGAAAATATGGTCCTTGGTCAATGCTTGGTGGCTGAAGAGTCTTGGACAATTGGTTGAAATGCTAGGAAAATTGGCTGGAAGCTTAAACCCTCAATGGAATTTTGGTATCCCTGTTTCAGAGTACGTTGAATGCACTGCCACTCCAGCAAGTTCCCCATACAACCAGGTAATCATTGCAGTTTACTTAAACCTACCATTCTCTGGATTATCCCCACGACCTACTTACACGAGCATTCTCCTTCTTCCTGTGGATATACTTGTGTCTCCTTCTGAGTTTCAACATAGTGAAAATGGAACTGATTTTGATGCTGGAAATCTTATCTTTTAACTCCTGAAAATTGAAATGGATGAGTAATGGGCTATGGTGGTGTTATTTTATTATTTTATTTTTTTAAATAGAGTGTTTGGTTTTAAGGCACTATTATTTCTACTTGCTGCGTCAGGCATTAGGTGTCCCTACCGGTCCCCATGGTGCCATTCGTGACTACCAGGTGGACGCCATTACTATGGAGATGTCACCGAAGTTATCTTCAAGTCTTAATAAACAACAATATGAGATCCTTTTGCTTGTTGGCGGGTCTGTGCTACAATGAATAAGTGCATTATTTTTTCTTACTCTTATCAATAGCATGTAAACTTCTGTACTTGAATCTTTCCGTCCTATAATGGTTTGCCTGATTATTTCCAAGAGAATTTTTTTCCTAATGTTTTGACAAAAGATGTAGCTATAGATCTCTAATATACGTTGCTATGCAGATTGGTTGAAGGAGTTGTGAGATCTATAAATAATCTTCTCGAGAAATTTCACCAATCTTTTTTTCTGTGTCTGTTGACATCTCCAACTAGATTTGTGTCAGTTGGAGTCTACATGATCCCTTTTGTATTTGATGCAGGAGGGTCATAGTCAAATACTGAGTTGTCAGACAACACGTTAATGGTTCTAAAGTATCACGAATTAGCAGATCGGCGCAAGGATGGCAAGTGATCTCGTAACTTTGGTAATTGAATCGTGTTTAGAATTTGGCCATGACTTTGGCTACGGTTATGGGGATCGCGATTATGACCACAATCCGGAAAGCTTGTTTCGGCGCGAACGTCGTGGCCACCCAACTTTACTCGGTGTGTGCCGTTTTCAACCTCAAATTCCGCTATTTTCCCTTTCGAATTGTTATTTTTAGTTAAATTTTGTTATTTTTGGTAATATTTTGATTGCATGTTAGGAGATGATTTTTAACTCGATTTAGGCTAGATTTTTCGTAGACTACTTATTTTATTCCGTATTTTTGTTTGGCGTGATTTTTGAAAATTTGTCATTTTTGATAAAATTCGAATTTTTGATATAGAGTCCGGCTTGTGGACTTATTTTGATGATTGCGTGATATAATAAAATTCTTCAAACTTCGGAGACGTTTTCTCTGTGTTTTTCGACGTTAATCTTGTGTTTTTCCCTATGAATTTGCTGATAGAACTAGCCTACAGAATAATCACTATTTTGCTCGAAGTCGGTGTTGCTTGTTGTTCCCCTTCCACTAGTCTACGCCTCTTTTTTCTGATGCTAATAAATCGAACCCTAATACAGAGGAAGATAAACCCACATCTAAACCAGCCTCCACTGACCAATCTTCCCTTGCTTTTACGTCGTGGAAATGGCTTTATGCTGTCAAACAAGTCCTTATTGTCCACTTATGGAGCGCCATTGTAACGCTACTTCCTTATTTCATTGATCAAATACCCGACTCTTCACCAACTACTAAACTTTCAATTTGGATTGTGCTTTCAATAATTACCCTCTTGTTCTTAGATTCATTCTCTGGATATTATTTTTCAAGCACCAGTCTTTCTTGGGAAACAGAATGAACTCTCCTAAAGTCTGTAACTGTTGCCGCTGCCTTCATCGGACTCTCTATTATATCAGTCATAAACTTTGCAACAGCAGAAATTGGAGCATTGCTTCTCCTTCCTATGTGTTTGACCGTAGTACCCTTGAGGCTCAATGACAAATTGAATACCTTGAGAGCTCTTATCAGGGGAGCTTGTAACATAATCTTTACATCATTGGGTTTCCTCCAACTGTGTTTTTTGTGTTGAAAGGTGCATTAGAGGGTTTTGACAACATGAGATTTGAGGACTTTTGGAATTGGGCCGAGTCACTCTGGACATGGAACAGTGCCACATATATCTATACGTGTATGGTTCACCTGCCCTGCTGGGTATTGTGTGCGTAGACATTACTACATCGTTGTTAATGGTTTCCAAATTTTTGTTAGTGGATATTGTACTAGATAAACTAGATAACATGTAGGCATAATTTTAGTGGTTAAGTATTTGCTTGGATGTCGTCTAGGTACGTATTCTACGATGGCACGTTTTTCTCAACATTTGAATTTTGGACCTTTCACTTTTGTAGCATTTTAGATGTCTTGAGTAGATTATGATTGCTGTGGAATTGAAAGGGGGAATGGATGGGAGTGTTTTTTGGGTTGCGCTAAAGACTTGGAAGAGGAGAAAACCAATAACTGGAAATAAGTCCCAAAAGGCTTTTATTTCATATTTGGCATTACCCTTATTCAATGCATGCACAGGTGGAGGTGGAGGAGAACTTTCGGGTGGCTTTGTTGTTTGGTGGTGGAGCATTTTCATGCTGCTCGCACATGAACGGAAGTGAATTTTCCTGGTTCTCAGTGCTTACTAGAGGAATGGAAATGCTCCCATTTTTTTTTAAGAATAATGTTGTCTATCATAGTAGAGAACGTATTTAGTTTAAGGGAGAATTTGTTAAAAATCCTAGTCAGATCATGTATTTGGTTAAATAATCTCCCGCCAATGTTTCTCGATCAAATGATCTCAAATTGTAAAATATAATAAATAAACAATGTCAAATGTTATAAATATCTTCACCGTTGGAAAAAGCATTAACACCATCATCAATGATAGCCCAAGAATTAGGGGTGTCCAAAAGTCTCGAACCGAATCGAGCGGTTATCCAAACGAGTACCCGAATCGAAAATCGATGGGTTTGGGTCGGGTCTCGGTTCTAGACCAAGAACCGAAAAATCGAATAAAATCCGAAACTAAATAATTTTTTTTTATTTTTTATATTGAATTAATTAAATTAAATTATTTTTTTCTAAATAAATTAGCAAATTAATTAAATAAATCAGATCATTTCATTATTTTAATTTTAAAGCTCAATACCCAAATCATTTTAAAGCCCATTTTAAAGACAAGAAACGGTGGAGTTTGGGATCTATTTGCAGTTTTTGATACGGATCACTAATATTTTAATATTAACATCTACTTTTTGGTATTTGTATGCATTGAATTAATTTTATTGGATCGCTAGTTATTTATATGTTTTTGAATTGGGCTACGTTAATTTATAAAAGTTACGAATGAAATGTCATTAATTGTATTTATGTAGTGTTACTGTAAATGTTAAAAAATTTAATCATAGTATGGAATCGAACGGAACCGAACCCGAACGGTTCCATAATTATATTTGAACCCGACGGGTCCATTTATTAAATACTCGAAAGTTTTGGGTCGGTTCGATTCTCTTCAGAACCGAGCCGAACCGACCCATGGACAGCCCTACCAAGAATGGCTAACCAAGAGGGGGTGAATTGGTTTTTAAAATTTTTTCAAAAAATTAATCTAAATTCAAGCAAGTAAAGACTAAATAGAATAATTCAAATAATAAGCACAAATACAAAAGCGATAAGTAAAAGAGAGAGCTGATGCAAACAATTCAATTATGGAAGTTCAATTCAAAGCAATGATCTACATCCTTCGTTATCAAGCTGTCCTGCACGAGTAAGGTCTTTTTACTATATTGATTGATTTATGGTGCAATCCAACCATTTACAACGTTTCGGGTGACTTACAAATAAGGAGCACCGATCCTTATACAATGTTGAGCTTTACGGGATCTCAACATGACCCACTATTGAGTTTTCATGGGACCTTAATATGACTCACACAGTGACTTACAATAAAGAGTATCAATCCTTATACAATATTGATCTTTAAGGGATTTCAACACGGCCTACAATTTTTCAAAGCGATTTTATAATGGAATACCTCTTTTAATAAATAATACAAACAAATTAAGTACTAAAAAAGACTAACAATTTGATGAATAATAATAAATGATAGCTCAGGTGTTAGATGAAAAATTTTGATGAATATGATAATAAAAAAGTAGATTCAATCATTCAAAGTGTTTCAATGAGAAAATGAAATAAATGTAATGTAGGTTCAAAAATCTTCTCAAAATATATGTCTCTTTTAATTATTAATTGTAATAAATTAAGTATTAAGAGAGAAATGAGAAACTTTGATGAATATGATGATTTTACAAGTTGGATTCAATTAATCAAATATTTCAATATGAAGAAATAGAAAAGTTTATACAATGTAGATCTTCTTCAAAAATATCTTTTTTAAAATTAATATAAATAAGTTAAGCACAAATATAAATAAAAAACTTTTATAAGAGAAATGATTTAAGAGGTTTGATTCAACAATCAAAATTTTTTTTATGAAAAATGAATGAAATGAATGTAAAAATGTAATCTAAAAAAAATATTTTTTTTTTAACAAATATATTTCACAAGAAAGCTCCCTTCTAATTGTTTAATGAATGCAAAGTGAAGTGGTATTTATAACAATCAAAATGCCAAAATTTCTGAACAATCGAACAACTAAACTAGTCGTTGTGCGTCAGAAATTAGAACGATTAAAAATTTTACAGTTGGACGAACCAGATATCCGTGGACTTCGAGGATTTTTTTTTTTGGGGGAAATGTGGGCTTTGGAATAATGTTTTCAATTTATCTTTTAAGGTAAGTAATATTGTAAAAATTTAGACATCATATTGAAACACTTTACCTTTTTGGAAAATAATTTTTTATGCAAGTATGTTTATGAAATAATATTTCCGTGCATAAAACGATTTTTGAGTTTTTATCATTCATTACTAAATATCGAAATATTATACATTTATATTTAAGCTAAGAAATCTAGTTTTTGATCTTTTTTCGATTCCTATTAGACTCATCGTCTTAATCTTTCTTTTATGTCGTCTCTAATTCTCTTGATCTTGTTTTTTTTTTTTTTTGACATTAATCTTTTAAACTCTCATATCGAATAATTTGACTTGAATGCTTAACTTTCACTTTGATCTTCATTTCAAGTCCAATTTATAATGTGTTGATTTTGACAATACTTGATTGATTTTAACATAGAACTATTATCACTCGAAAACAATTGTTAGAAAGAATATTAATTTTGTTTGTTATGATCAAAACATTAAGGATGAAATCAACTATATGTCAAAATTTTCCTCATTTTTGATCATGATAAACAAGATAATTTGCAAGGCAAGATTGAACAATTGATATTATATTGATACAGGAATATACATTATAAATTTTGGATGTAATCCATATATTCCACATATCTTTTACAAATCAATAGCCATTCATTTTAAAGAATATGTTTATCACGGCAAGCATCACATTTTTTTCAAACATGTCATCTCATATACTTTCCCCCTTTTGTCATAAGCAAAAAAGGTAGTTCATATGAGAGG